GTGCCTTAGCCACTTGAGCCACAGGCGTGCAGCCTTAAAGGTAGATTCTTAAATCTCTGATGTATCAGCCTCTGGATGCAAATCAGGTCAGATAAAAACATTTATCTGTCAGGAGCAGTAGTTTGTGCCTATAATCTCAGCACTTTGGGAAACTCAAACAGAAAGACTGTGTGAAGCCAGAAGTTCAAGACCAGCCTGGGCAACACAGCAAGACCCCCATCTCCACAAAAAAAGTATTAAAAAAAATTAACCTGGGTGGCTCCTGTGGCTCAAAGGAGTAGGGCGCCGGCCCCATATGCTGGAGGTGGCGGGTTCAAATCCAGCCCCGGCCAAAAACTGCAAGAAAAAATAATTAGCCTGGCCTGGTGGCTTGCAAATGTAGTCCTAGTGACTCAGGAGGTTCAGGCAGGAGGATCACTTGGTCCCAGGACTGAGGATTACAGTGAGCTAAGATCCAGCCACTGCACTCCTGTCTAAAAACCAAAAAACCCCACTTCCTACTAACTTACTTTCAACAATGGGTTCCTATCTCATTTCTTCTTTCTTTCGGGTGGGTGTTAGGTCTCCAGACATTAGGTGGGATTCTAAGACCTTTGCTCCAGCCACCCCTGACATTCTTTCTGCTCTTCAAATTCACCAAACTTGTTCCTGCCAGATCTTTGTATCTGCCCTTCCTTCTGCCTGAAACTCTATTCCTTCCATCTCTACATGGCTGCTTCTTTTTCGATCTCCTCACAGAGGCCTTCCGTTTTTGGCGTCCCCTCTGCTGAGCCACCCCAGATAGGCCTCCTTTACGAGGTTCCCTTGGTTATTTGTTCCAGGTCTTGTCACAGTCTCTCAAGTGCATCCGGCTGGGAAGAGAATAATCCTGCCCGATACTCTGCCCGTCCCTGGGTTCAGTTTTCCCTTCACAGCTACGAAGCGCTCTAGCAGCAGAGACCCAATCACCGGACGGGGACTTCGCTTTCCACATCAGTCAAAGGACCAGGTGCGTCCTCGATCTAGCCTCCAAATGCTTAAGGAGACTGCATCTCGTTCTGTAGGCGACGCCAAACCGCGCGCGAGCACTCCACCAAGCCGCAAGACCACAGCTTATGCTCCGCGCTCGCGGTTCCGCCCCCATCAGGGGCGGAGCCTAGATGGGCCTGCGCAGTTGCCCGGAGCCGGCTTCCGGGTAGGGCGAGCGCTATGGGGTGGAGGGCCAGTTCTTCCTAGTAGCGGCGGCGAGTGGGCGTGTACGGGGAGGGATCTAGCCCTAGGTCAGGGGTCCAGGAGTCTTTGGGAGAGGGTCGGAGGGTGCAGAGAGCCTGGGATAACCTCCTGCCGCCACCATCTGTTATGTCGGCCGAGGCCTCCGGCCCGGCAGCAGCCGTGGCCCCGTCCCTGGAAGTCCCTAACCCCTCTTGTCTCGAGCCTGGCTCCACCGCCTATGGACTCAAGCCGCTGACCCCGAATAGCAAGTATGTGAAGCTGAACGTGGGCGGCTCGCTGCACTATACCACGCTGCGCACCCTCACGGGACAGGACACCATGCTCAAGGCCATGTTCAGCGGCCGTGTGGAGGTGCTTACCGACGCCGGAGGTATGTGCGCCGCTTCACTTGAGCCCGCATGCCCTAGATCTTCAACTCTCTTTGCCCCCGTCTTTCATCGCCCATACTTCATGCCCCTTCGCTTGTCTGACTACTGTCCACTCAACTCATTCTCACCTTCTCTTCATCCCCCCTATATCCCACCTCTCCTTTCTCATTCGTAATCTCCACTCCCCTTTCTTTACCCACATCGATAGCCAACATCAACAGAACCCTAACTCTGCCAGGCGCAGTGGTAAGTGATTCAATATGTCACTTCATACTCGTCTTTACCAATTTTCCTACCTTTCATCTCTCAGCTCAAAAGATTTGGGAACCAACCCTGCTGCTAGCAGCACCCTCCTGGCAACCTTCATCAGTTTCTTCCAAATGCCAAGCCTTGTATTCACCTTTCAGATCTGCTGACAACCAGCTTGGAAAGCTAGGAGGTCTGGTCTGTCTCTTTGTTCCCCTAACGTAGGTCCCTGCGCACTCTAGGAATCCATTTGTAAATGCAGATTGTAAAAGGAGACGGCTGTTTTGGGTTTGCCAGGGACAAGAGAGTGGAGGGTGAACAGTTCTCCTTGGCAGGTGAACCTTACCTCCTTGGAGTGCTGCATTCAAGTTTGGGCCCCACATGCTCGGTGGAGACCTTAAGGCAGGGATCCTCAAACTTTTTAAACAGGGGGCCAGTTCACTGTCCTTCAAACCGTTGGAGAGCCGGACTGCGGGCCCCGAGACTAGTTGGCTGCTAAGCAGGACAGGCAGCGGCGGCAAAAACACCGGCGGGCGGGCCGGATAAATGTCCTAGGCGGGCTGCATGTGGCCCCGGGGCCGTAGTTTGAGGACGCCGGACTTAAAGTTTAGGGTTTTTTTTTTTTTTTGGCGGGGGGCAGTGGTTAGAGGATGTTAATAAGGATTACCACAGCAGGAAAATAAAAATTTGGGAGATAGAGCTCAGCCTTCAAATATCAAAGCTGAATTCATTTATTCAATAAATGTTTGTAAAAGAATCTTATTGAATAAACGAATATGCTGCGGTTACTTAGGTAATAGATCCGACAAAATTAGCTTTATAAAGTTTCCTTTTCTGGGGGAAGGTGGGAGTAGGGAAGACCAATAAGCAATTAAGGAGACAAAATATATGCAATTGTAGATAGTAGTAAGTTCTGTGAAGAATATTAAGGTTAACACCGGGCAGAGTGGCTCATATCTATAATCCTAGCACTCTGGGAGGCCAAGGTGAGAGGATTGCTTGAGCTCAGGAGTTCAAGACCAGCCTGAGGTAGAGGAAGACCTTGTCTACAAAAAGAGAAAAAATAGCTAAGCATGATGGTATGCACCTATAGTCCCAGCTACTTGGGAGGCTGAGGCAGGAGGCTTGAGCCCAGGAGTTTGAGGTTGCAGTGAGCTATGATGACACCACTGCATTCTAGTTCTGGTACAGGACTCAAAAAAAAAAAAATATATATATATATATATATATGCATATAAAAAGGGTAAAATGTCAGTGAACTGGAGGTTGGGAGTAGATAATTTAATTAAATAGTATGGTCAGAATTAACACCAGGGGTTAGAGATTTATTGATAAGGTAATTCCATAAGAACATTGTCATGGGCTGGGAGGGGTGGCTCATGCCTGTAATCCTAGCACTCTGGGAGGCTGAGGCAAGTGGATTGCTTGAACTCAGGAGTTTGAGATCAACATGAGCATTAGTGAGACCCCCAGATCTACTAAAAATAGAAAAAAATTACCTGAGCATTGTGGTGGGTGCCTGTAGCCCCAGGTTCTCGGGAAGCTGAGGCAGGAGGATAGCTTGAATGTAAGAGTTTGAAGTTGCTGTGAGCTAGGTTGATACCACAGCACTCAACCCAAGGCAACAGAGTGAGACTCTGTCTTGTCTCAAAAAAAAAAAAAAAAAAAAACTTTCTCATGATGAGAGTCTTTTGACTGTAGAACCCATTTGGGAGGAAATTTTCTGTGGCTGGATATCTGTAAAAGCAGATCCAGGCACACCTCCAAACTCACTGATATTTCTGAGATTTTCTTAGATATGGCAAAGGTTTGAGGCAGATCAGTATTCAGACTTGTGGCTTTGGAATCCTTTTTACACAAAAATTTAGTCACTTCAGGGCCCCCAGCAGACCCATTCTTCCTCCTGTCTCTTCCTACCCTACCAGGTTGGGTGCTGATTGACCGGAGCGGCCGTCACTTTGGTACAATCCTCAACTACCTGCGGGATGGGTCTGTGCCACTGCCTGAGAGTACCAGAGAACTGGGGGAGCTACTAGGTGAAGCACGTTACTACCTGGTACAGGGCCTGATTGAGGACTGCCAGCTGGCGTTACAGGTGAGGATCCTTCCCGCCTCCTGAGTTCCTGTGTCTATGTTCCTGGGAGAATTGCCCGCTGGGAGAATTGCCCGAGCAAATGTTAGGACAGTAAAAGGAAATATAGGGTATAGTCTGGAGAGCCTGGCTCTGACCACCATTACCCCAGAAAATTTGGGGGTACCGTCCTGTTCATTCATGCTGACTCAGCAGGACCCCTGCCACTTCATGCCAAGATCATTGCTGTGGTGGAATAATTGCTCTCAGCTTCTTGCTGTTATGACCCAACCAGTCCAGCTGTTTGCACTACTGCCTGAGCAGTTGTTTTTAAACACAACCCTAATCTATTCTCTCTCTCGTTCAGAAATACTGTATAGCTCCTCATACCACTAGGGAAAAACATCTAAATTTAAATTGAAATATAATAAGCTCTGTGCTCTGGTCTTGTCTTAGGAGGCAGTGCTCCCTCATGCCTTTACCCCCACGGGCTTTCTAATTTTTTTTTTTAAGCAATGAGATCCTTTCCTCAAGTGAAATCTAATAGAAGCAGAGCTGCTTTCAGTAAAACAGCGTTGAGGGCCCAGGGCCCCAACTACTAGTCTCTACTTCTGTGGACCCCTTAGGTTCTAAGCAACAGAGCTTAGAAAGTACAGCCAGGACATAGGGGTTCCGAGTGACCTTGAGTGAGTCCATTCCTACCTCTGGTATTCTACCCTCATGTTCTAAAAAACAGGGTACTGAGAAAAATAAGTACAATGTAGTGAGTTGGACATAAAGCCTTTTGTTGTTTTGCTTTTACAATGTTAAAATTGTCCTTTCTTTTTTGATATAATAGTAATAAGAGATTATAAGAGTTTCTTTTTAAATACATTTTATGAATTAAAAAGTGGCAACTCTGAACAATTTTCTGTTATCTCAGAGAATACTTACTGTTTCTTAGAATCCAAAAATATAGAACTACTTTGGACAGTATCCATGTTTTTCAAACTTTTTGATCACAGCCCACAGGGGGAAGAGACTTTTTTTAAAAAAATTTTTTAAGAGACAAAGCCTCAGTCTGTCAGCCAAGCTAAATTGTATGGTCATAACTCACTGTAGCCTCAAACTCCTAGGCTCAAGTGATCCTTCTACTTCAGTCTCTCAAGTAGCTAGGACTAAAAATGCATTTTATACTCATATATATAATTAAGAATTTCAGGCTCGGCACCTATAGCTCAACCGGCTAAGGCGCCAGCCACGTACACCTAAGGTGGCGGGTTCGAATCCCCAGCCCGGACCCGCCAAACA